TTTTTTTTTTTTTCTTTTTTCCTTCAGCACAAGAAGTTCCCTGGGTTACAAATGTCAGATTTGGGGACAACTCCCACTTGCCCTTTAATGTTATGTAAATATGCCTTCACTTTGAAACTACTGAACCAACTCCTACCTGCAACATATTCTTCATTTGCTGGGCATGCAGCTTTTAAATCATTGAAAAGGCCTGGAGTGTTTTCTTGCACTAAAATAAGGCAGGAGTCCTAGTGTGACGCTGTGGGTTAATGCACAGACTGCAAAGCCGTTTGAATTGCAAGGTTAAAGCCGTTTGAATTGCAAGGTTGGTGGTTCAAGCTCACCAGCTGCTCCTCAGAAATCCTATATAGGGTCGCTATGGGTCAGAACTAACTCAACAGCACTTAACAACAACAACAAAGTAAGGGTGAAGATTTTGTCTCCAACCTGGGGACAGCCTATACTCTGCCTTTTAAAATGTGGCTCAGGAACAGCCTTACTGACATTCATTGGCTTTGCCCGCTCAGCCCAATGCATCCTTTTACTTTAAATTTGATGCCTTCTGTTGAGAAGTGGGAAGGAATTGGTGGAACAGTAACAGAAGAGCGCCAAAACGTAATCTAGGTTACACTCAGAACAAAGTCAATGTGACTCAAGTAAAGCCCAAGGAGGAGGGCGTTTCATTAGGCCGTCGACCTGAAAACCGAATCTAACCCAAGTCCCCAGCTGGGCGTGTTCATTTCTATTTATAGTCAAGGGCACTAGTCCTCTGAGGATGGACTCTGAATGCAGTGGACCCAAGGGGACGAAACAGTAGTGCTGAGGACTGGAAAGGTGTTCCATCCATCATGGGGTGAAGTGTATCTTGGTTTCATTTTCTGGAAAGGTGCAGAATTTGTTTAACTCTTCCCAGATCATGAGAAAACCTGAGTTAGGATTAACAGAACTCCTGAGCCTCTGCCCTTCAATTCTCGCAGATTCTGTTTTTGGTGATGGATTGTTTCAAATGTTCTCTGAGTCGATGAAAGCACTGCTTTCAAACTTGATATGATGTGTTGGACAGCTTTGATTTTGAATGCAAGTTGGGGATAAAGTAGGAAGGGCTGGAAACTCCTCCAACCGAGCATGAAAACATAAAACACACTGAGCTCTTACTTGGTCAGTATCTCTGGTTGTTGTAGATGAAGCTGTAATTATGTTCTTCTTCATTATGCTCTGTAGACAGAAAGCCCTGTATTGTCATCCTTCTAGATAGTAGCTGAAGGCAGATGGACTGAAAGCCCAAATCAACATGTTATGAAGATGTTCTACAAGTTATTGTTGGGAAATTGACTTACCGTACCACTCATCAACCCACGCAAAAGCCTGTCTATGGCCAATCAGCAGAATGTCTCGGACCACCTAAAAGGTAAAAGAAGGAGGTTGAAATCATACCATGTTTGACGAAAACTATCTGGAAAATAGGTCGCTTCAATTCTGGGAATCCTGGCGACAACCAGTTCCTCTATCCCTTCTCCATCTGTGAAGACAGTCAAAGGCTGATAGATACTGAGCTTGCTCATGCTCAGCCTTTTCCATGACATGCATGCACTTGCGATAAATTCATCTTTTTGTTTTATTGAGAGCCAGGCTAGCAGGGGGTGTGCAAACTAATGACAACTATTTGGCAGTCACACCGCAGTGAAATTAATCTCTCTAGGCTAATCACCTCGAGGCTTTCTTTTCATTTATCTTTAAAACAGTTTCTACTTTTTGTTTGATGAAGGGTGTGTCTCACGGTTGCCAGGAGGTCACAGCTGTCAGAAAGAAAGGCCATGCTTTGTGGAGTAGCAAGTCACTCCTAAGAAAGAGGACTTTACCACCTTTTCTTTTCTCTGATGAAACAGCCTAAAAAAAAAAATGGCTTTTTTTTTTCTTTTCTTTTAATGGAATGGAAGTGTGAATACAAGATAAAATCTCAGTAAACACACATGACTTTCATGTATGAATAATATGAATATTTTTGTAATACATGAATTATGAGTATCATTTCATGTAATAATATTTTAGCCAACAATTCCTAAAAGAGACGAAATAAGAGACCTGAACAAGAATGAAAGATAATAGGATTAATAAGGCTGACTAGAGATGAAAAGAAATTGTTTCCTAGGATAGTACATAATGGTAGAAGGCTAAGATAGATAACATGTTAGCTATATATATGTGTGTGTGCATGTGTGTGCAGTACCATTGTGCTTTTATTTTGTTCTCTTTTGTCCTGTATAAATACAACTTTTAGGTTCTTGGGATTCTCACAGCCTTCCTCCAACATCCCTTTTTTACTTGTCAAACAAATTGAGCACTTGTTGAAAACCTCTCATGGAAGGTTCAAGCATGTTTCAATAAATGAAGGATTTTAATTTGGTGCATTTAAAGAAACAAGGGAAGCATTTATAATGAAGTGTTTATTACTCCAGGCCCCTGGATATCTAGTGAGGCTTTTATGGCCTGGAAGGAGGAAACATATGTACTGAAAATGAGGAACAACACACAGCCATACACACTTGAGTGCTGAGTGTGTCAAATTCATGGAAATCAAAAGAACAGCATGGAGGCATCAGTAAATATACCCTACTACATTAAGCACAACACAGCTGTCTGCTGGAAACAAGAACTCAATAATGTGCTAATGGCTCGCTTTCCAGCATTTCTCTCCCCCTGCCCCCCAACTGTGAATAGATTCTTTAAAAACAAAGGTGTTTAGAGAAAGGCATCCCCAGCAACTTTCCATCCATGCAAATACTAGCCTCAAATACTCATTAGCGACTCATGTGCCAGAGCAGGTGTGTTTTTGAGGGCGTTGATAGCACTTTGTTGATATTTAGTAATGAGCAATGGGAATGCCTCTTATAAGAGCATGATTCTTACAGGTATTTTAAGGAAGATAATGGAGTTTCAAAATTGGCCAAAGTTATCTGTGAGAAAAGAAAAGGAAAGAATAAAGGACTCTAGGGTAGTCTAAATATACTTTGTAAAGGGAAATAATAAAGTTTACAATGATATTGGTACTATTAAAAGGAGGTCATTTTGGGTCCAAAATGTGCAAGAAAAAAAATGAAAAAAGAAAACCTGTGGTGGGAAGTCATTGAGGATACAGTCTTAGAGCAACACAGTGTTGAGGCGGGGAAAGGTTTGACCCTTCCTGTGTAATGACAGACAGCAGAAAACAGGAGGGTCCAGAACTTGATTTCTAATATTCTCATTCCGTGCCCATCACTGGCTGGGCAGAATGGGTTCTGGAGCTCAGCGGAGGGTCAGCACACTTCTCTGTTCCAGAAAACCAAGAATTCATAGTCTGCTACTGCTGTGAATCAAGTTGCCAGGGTTCCTGAGACCCGCGATCTAGTCTATGGTTACAAATTGAAGATCTGGACTTTTGAGTGTCTGTTGGTCTCTAAACCAGAGCAGACAAGTTATAAGAGGTCAGGGCGTTAAGATGAAATTCTAGTGCCCCCAGAGGAATTTCAGAAAGCTTCTCTTCATAAGTTTCTAAGTGGAAAACTAAGCAGATATTCAGCCTATCTGAAACATAGAGACAACTTGGCACTTGGGCAGTATTTATTTGTATGAAAATAGGCCTACAAAGGGCAGTTGTTCAACACTGCATTTCTCGTTTTTTTCCCCCATGAGGATAAGTTAAGCATTATGTTGTTGTTAAATCCCATCGAGTTGGTTCTGACTCATAGTGACCCCTATATACGGTTTCTGAGGTGCAGCTGACCGATCTTACGGTTAGCAGTGTTCAGTGCTTATCCTACAGCGCCACACCAGGGCCTTAGAAACCCCTAAAACTTAAATCACCACCGAGTGGCTTCCTACTAAAAAGTTAAAGACATTTAGCTGAAGTGGGCATTACAATTGAAATCTGTGTTTTGAGGTTGTTGATGGTAATTTTTTGCTAACAGGATTATTATGTGAGCAGGAACACTGAAGTGCCTGGTCTAATGGGACACCTGGGATCTCTTGTTCTGTCTCTCAGGGCATGTTTTACTTTAGGTGCTGACATTTGCAGTATCTTTTGGGTGAGAATTATCCTTGGGGGCTGCACACACAGATAAACCCTCTGGTTTCTTTCAGGTACCTCTGTCTTGAACAAGATTAGCCTGATACCTACAAGAGAAGGATGTTTCAAAAGCCAGCTTTCCAAATCCATTCACCCAAAAGATATGGAGACCACAGAAGGAGAGAGGAAGTGTCAAGCATCTATCAAGGAGGAAATTAAACTTGCTTATAAAGGAAATTTTCATCACAAATACACTTTCTAGATGCAGACACCTTTGTATCTGTGTGCATCCTGTGCTCTGCCCGGCAAGAAAGACAGTTACAGCTGACCCTCATTATTTGTGGATTCCATATTTGCAAAATCGCTTACTCTCTAAAAATACTCATGAGTGCCCCTTTGCAGGTTACAGACGTGCCCATGTGCAGAGCAGCAACATAGTCCCAGTTGAGGATGAACAAGGCTTGGTCTGTGTTCAAGAGCAGTGTCACCAGTAACTTCTAGAACATCATTGCTAAGAATAATGGCAATTGAGTGTATGCTGTTGCTACTCTGCTATGAATGCATGGTTCAGGAGCTGACGTTTGTTTACTTACCTTGTGTACAAATTGTTCCACTCTGGTCTGAAGCCCCCAGACTTCAAACTTCACGGTCACCAGCTTGTAGGAACACATGATGGGCTGATGATTGTCCCTCCAGCCTTCCCTCAACTGTCCCCGTCCTGTCTTCTCTGACTTGAAGTGTTTAGGATCCTAGGGGGGGAAATATCAAAGAAATGGCAACTGACAGGACAGCTGTCGTTTATATGACGCATCCAGAAGAGGCAAATCCAGAGAGACAGAAAGCAGATTAGTGGTTGGCTGGGGTTGGGGTAGAAGAATGAGGGGGGATGACTGCTGATGGGTACAGGTTTACTTGCTGGAATGATGAACACTACTGTCTAGGATTAGATAGTGATGGTGGTTGTATAACCTAGTTGTTAAGTGCCATCGAATCAGTTCTGACCCATGGCGATCCAGTTTAGGGTTTCTGAGGAGCGGCAGGTGGGTTTGAACTACTGACCTTATGGTTCAAACTGATCCAGTGCATCAGGACTCCATACAACCTTGAGACTATGCTAAATACCACTGAATTGTACACTTTAAAGAGTGACTTACATCTCAATTAAAGGAAGAAAGATTACAATGTAACCAAGTGGTGAAAATATAGCTCATCTAATTAAATGTTAAAAAAAGAACAGTTTAAAGCTAGATTTCTGACATTGTATTGTAGTTTTCCCCATGATTTTTGAGTCAATAAAGTTTATTCCACGTTTATTAATAACAACAAAATTTCAATCAATACATCAGAATCTAAATCCATTCAACAACTTCAGATAATCATTCAGTAATAGCTATAAAACCAAGCATCTGCCTACCTATGCCCCATCAATTCCATTTTTGGGTGAACTGAGCCTATATGTCTTCCACAAGGCTGTATTAGAATATGCACATAGCAAGTGTAGACATAATAGGTACAAACTAGAACAGAGCAAGTGTTCATCAGCAGGAAAACATTAAATAAATGGCATATCCATCCACACAATGGCTACACAGTAAGGAAAAAGAACCAACTACTGATGTACGCCAAGAACATGCAGGACTCTCAAACATGATGATGCGTAAAAGTAGCCAGCCACAATGGTACACACACCAATGGATACTCTAGAACAACCAAAACTTATTTATGGTAATAAAAGTTAGCCTAGCAATATACTCTTGGGAGGAGCTAATTTCCAAGGAATATGAAAGAAAAGTCTAAGATGATAATGATGGGTGTGCTTTCAATGATGATCTGAATATCATTTATAAAAATTCATCAAGGTATACATAAGATTGGACTCTTGGTGTGATGCTATGGATCAGCACTGGACTGCGAACCACAAGGCGGGCAGTTCAAACCCACCAGCTGCTCCTGGGAAACCCTACACACAGTTGCTATGAGTTGGCACCGACTCATTGGCACTTAACAACAACATACATAAGATTTGGGTTCTACCTCAAGAAAAGAAAGTGAAAAAAATAAAATAAAATAAAAAGCTTAACTACTTGACACTTAGTGATTGCCAGCTATGATTATTTAATTATTGTTGTTAAGTGTCATGGAGTGGGTTCTAACTCATAGTGACCCTCCATAGGATTTCCAAGGCTTTGGAGGAGCGGAAAGCCTCATCTTTCTCCTGAGGAGAGGCTGGTAGACTTGAACTGCTGACCTTGTGGAAAGTCCAGTGTTTATTTTACAGAGCTCCCAATTATTTTACTAAAGGATTATTTTTCAGTGTGACTGTAAAATAAATATGACAATAATAAGCTAGAAAAAAAGCCTTCAATTGTATTCAAAATGGTATCTATATGGACTTTATCAAAGTGAAAAAATTTGTGCACCAAAGAAAGTAAAATGAGAAACTAAAGAATGGGAGAAAATATTTGGACAACATGGGTCTGATAAAAAGTCTCCATATAAAGAACTCCTACAAGTCAACAATGCAAAGATAAAACATCCCAATCAAAACATGAACAAAGGAACAGACGTTTCTCCAAAGAAGATATACACATGGCCCAGGAAAAGATGCTCAAAGATATTAGTCATCAGGGAGATACAAATCAAAACCAGAATGATATAACACTCCACACCCACTAGGATGGCTATTGTTAGAAAATCAGAAAATAACAAGTTGATGAGGAGATGGAGAGATGGGAATCCTCATCTGCTGGTGGACACGTAAAATGGCATAGCCAAGGTGGAAAAGAGTTTGGCATAGAATTATCATATAACCCAGCCATCTACCCCTAGGTATCTACCCAAAAGAACAGATACCAGGGACTCAAAAAGACACTTGGGCACCAGTGCTCATTGAAGCATTATTCACAACAGACTGAAGATGGAAACAACCCAAGTGCCCATCATCAGACGAGTTGTTTGTTCTTGTTAACTATCAGAGTCGGTTTCAACTCACTGTGACCCTGTATAGGAGTGACTGGTGAGTACGAACCACCAACCTTGCGGTCTAACACATCCTGCAGCGCCACACCAGGACAAAATATTGTATATGCATACAATGGATTATTATTGAGCCATAAAGAAAAATCAAGTTCTGATACATATCATATGGATGAACTTTGAAACATTATGCTAAGTGAAAAAAGTCAGGCACAAAAGACTAAATATTGTATGATCCCTCTTATATGAAAGATCTAGAATACGAAAATGCATAGAGAACAAAGTTTATTAGCGGGTACCAGGAGGACGTGGGTGGAGAAGGGTGAAGGTGAGTTATTATTTAAAGGATACTGAATGTCTTAGGTATTTAGTGTTACCATAACAGAACTACCACAGTAGATGGCTTTAACAAACAGAAATTGATTTCTGTTTGGAACGAATGGTGAAAAATTTAGATATGGATAATCGGTGTATCCATAACATGGTGTGGCGCTGAAGGTTAATGCGCTGGACGGCAAAGGCGGCGGTTCAAGCTCACCAGCTGTTCCTTGGAAACATAAAGGGTCACTATGGGTCGGAACCAGTTCGATGGCACTTAACAACAACAAAATGATGAACTTAATGACATTGAATTGTACATGTAAAAATGGTCAGAACTGACTAGAAGGCACTTACCAACAACAATGTGTATACATATTCTACCACAATAAAAAATGTTTTTAATAGATAAATTAAAAAAAAACAAAACATGTAAGTGAAAGAAGCCAGTGACTAAAGGCCACATTGTATAATTACATTTATATGAAATGTCCGGAACAGGCAAATTCAGAGAGAGAGAAATTAGATTAGTGGTTGCCTTAGGTTCTGTGTGTAGCGGCGCGGATGGTATAGTGTGGGGACAGCTGATAGGTACAAAGGTTTCTTTCTGGGGTGATGAAGACATTCTAAAATTAGATTGAGGTGATGGCTCACAACTTTGTAAATATGCTAAGACCTGTTGAATTATATCCTTAAAATAGGTGAACTTTATAGTATGTAAGTTATGTATCAATAAAGCTATTAAAAATATATATGCATACATATGCAGGTAGCCCCTGACTGAAAAACGTTCGAGGTATGATGAATTGCACGTAAGATCGCCATTTTTTTCAGTACATCTTATTGTTAGGAATAGGTACTACGGAAATTTACATGAAATGTTTGCAGCCCTCAAAGCCAAATAAAGACTGGATTCATAAAGATACTGATTTTTTTTTGTTGCTAAATGCTGTTGAGTTGGTTCTGGCTCATAGCAACCCCGTATAGAGTTTCCGAAGCTACAAATCTTTGCAGGAGCAGAAAGCCTCATCTTTCTGTCCCGAAGATATGGATAATAAAAGGAAATAATAATGAAACCTTAAAAAAAAAAACACCCAAACCCACAACAGTCATGAGTATGAAATCCCCTTTGTAAGTCAGGGACTACCTGTGCAATCTTAAAAACAAGGCTAGGTGTTACCTCAGAAGGATTCTTTTGGGGTGTACACTGGCTCTAGTTTACTAATGCTAAGTGCTATGGAGTTGGTTCCGACTCACAGCAAACCTGTATAAGGTTTCCAAGGAGCGGCTGGAGAGTTTGAACCACCAAACTTTCAGTTAGCACTCTGGTGCTTATCCTACAGCACTACACCAGGACTTCAGGTTTACTGATGTTGCTAAAGTGCAATGAAGTTTGGGTTCCAACTCATAGAGACCCTGTATAGGGTTTCCGAGGAGCATCTATCTGGTGGGTTTGAACCACGAACCTTGCTGTTCAAACCTACCTTGTGGTCCGTCCAGTGCTTATCCTACAGCACCACACCAGGACTCATGATGTTGTTGTTACGTGTCGTGGAGTCGGTTCCGACTCATAGCGATCCTGTACAGGGTTTCCAAGGTTGGAAATCTTTACGGGAGCAGAAAGCCTCAACTTTCTCCCGCGGAGCAGTTGGTAGTTTCGAACTGCTGACCTTGCGGTTCGCAGCCCGATTTGTAACCACTTCGCTACCAGAGCTCCTTAGGACTTCTGATAGTCCTGTGTAAATAATTGTTATGCTGTTGTGAGTTGCCATGAAGTCGGCTCCAGCTCATGGAGACCCCACATAAAGTAGAGCAAAACTTCAAACCACCCTGCACCATTGTCATGACCCTTGTTGTGTGTGAATCCATTGTTGTGGCCATTGTGTCTACTCAGGTCATCGAGACACTGCTCTACTGAACACGATGCCCTTTTCTATCTATTGGTCTTCCTTGATAACATCCAAATTGAACAAGACAAAGCCTGGTGGTGGTGGTGGTGGTGGTGGTGGGTTAGCAGGCAGTGTTTATCCTATAGCGCCACATAAGGACTCCAAGACAGAGTCTATCTTCAATTACAAGAACCATTCTGGTTGTGTTTCTTCAAACACTGTGACTCGCTTTGACCAATGGGATGTAACGGAAAAGGTACTGGCCTCGCTGTGCTTAAAGCTGAAAGTCAGCCACAATGTAGAAAGTCTAGTTTGATTGTCTTGAGACCACCATGCTGGGAGGAAGCCGAAGCTTTCTGTGGAGAGGCCAGATTTTAGATGCTCCGGCCACATCAACTGTGAAGCTAGACACATGAATGGAAAAGTCATCTTAGATACTTCAGCCCAAGCATGTTGTTGTTAAGTACTGTGGAGTCGGTTCTGATTCATACTGACCCTGTACAGGGTTTCTGAGGCTGCAAATCTTTATGGGAGCAGAAAGCCTCATCTTTCTCCCGTGGAACAGC